CATACATACATACATACATACATACATACATACATACATACATACATTACATACATACATTACATACATACATGCATACATACATACATACATACATACATACATACACATCTTCCCAGGAGCCCCCAGAGGTTCTCCTAATGAAGTAAAGCATGGTGAGCAAGCCACAACCAAACAAGCTCAGTTCAAGGCATCTTCTCGCAGGTCAAAGTTCCTGAGATCTTGATCTTGACTGAATTCTGAAGCTGCGAGTCTGGGAGCTGGGGCTGCCCTAGTGCCTACAGCTCGGCTTCACTTGGCAAACGAGGCTCTTGAGGAGAAAGTCGCACTGCGAGTGCAAGCTTCTGATTTCCTGCACTATCTAGATGAGCAAGGCGTCTCCATGTGTCAAACATGCTTTTCTTCAGTTACTGCAAAGCTTGTCTGGTCTCAGTGGGCCTCTCGCAGGGCGCCGAGAACCTACGCAAAATGGAGCCTTGTGATATGCTACATGGACGTGTCTCAAGAAAACGATAAACATGTCACTATGTCACGATGTGCTCCCTGCTGAAGTTGGGACAAAACTCTTGAGAGCATTCTTAAGTCTTAAGTTCACTGAACCAAGCACAACACGGAAGATTCTCTGCGGCTCCGCTACGCCTGGTTCAACGATCGTAGCTCCTCTCGACCTCCAAGCCATACAGCAGAGGGAACCACTGCTAAGGGAATAAGTTGATAACTCACTGCGGGCCAAAACCAGAAGAATTCCCCCAGAGGTACATCCACCATGCCCAACATCAACGTCCTTGCTTCGACGCATATTTAGAATCCAGCTTCGCTGAATATCTGCTTCCAGCTCTGCCTTTGCTGCCTCCGATGCGGAGACGATCATGATCGGACGTTGTGGCAAGAACTGGCGTCCGTTAAGCCAGGAACACCCAATCACAATTGTATCGCAAAATATCGATCAAGACCATCAAAATCCCATCGAACACATCTGAATCAACGTGTTGATTTCAAAATTCCCAGAAAGGATGTGCCTGCCTGCTTGCTTCCCAAGCTGCGATTGTCGGCCATCTTTTTCTGGTTACTGTTCTTCACGAGGTTCTCATACTCAGACTGCCCCTTAGCTTTGCATTGCTGCTTTTCAAGATAAGCTGGTGCATGCCCACAATAACAAAACCAGCCAAGTGATCCGCCACGGCATCTTGTGACTGGAGCATCTGCGTCTGCTTTTGAACATCCGCCTGTGGCCATTCTGAAGTAAACAAAGAGCTACAAACATTGACACAAAATGCCCTTTAATATGTTAATGACATCCATAGTTTAACTCTGCACATGGTCAGGAATGGGACAGAAAGAGAGAGAGAGAGAGAGAGAGCATTCTTTCACTCTGCCAAGGTGTCTGCGGCATTTGGCCTCTGAGTTCGGCGGCCATCCCATACGTTTCGCATGGCGCAGCGACACCAGCAAGTCTCAGAGTCTC